CCTGTGAATGTTTTTATTACAAGTGTCTGTATACAGTATTTAGGTTATGTGGAAATGCATTTGTTATAGTACTTTGCTATTTTGTACCTTTTCAGCTTCCTGTATTCACTTAGCGTGTTTTAAAGATTTATCTGATTCATATAGATCTAATTCATCAATTTAAAATGTTGAATTGGGTCAGCCGAGTGGCTCAGTTGGTTAAGAGCTCGCTCAAGAGTTTGAGCTCTGAGCAACAGTGGTTCCAGTCCCGGCACAAGCTGAGCAGCTGCTGAGCTGCCAACATGTGGCAGGAGGGCTCAGCTAAAAATAAATAAATAAATATTAAAATGTTTAATTGTGCTATATAAATCATGAAATAGCACATATTCATTTTCTACTGGCCAGAGCATTGTTTTCAATGTCTCAGTATTACAAATAGTGCTGCCATGAGAATTCTTGTCCATGTCTCTTCATGTGCAAGTGTGTTTTCTAGTGTTGACATCTAGTAGAATTATTGGGTCCTGCAACGCTTGGACTGCCTAGGAATTGCCAAATTGCTCTTCAAGGTGGTTGAACAAATTTGTATTCTTAACTAGCAATAGTTCTACTTCTGTTCCATTCTCTACAGCTTTTTCTTCTTCAATTATTAGAAATATTTTCTGTTCTCATTAATTACTTATAGTCCTCCTGTGTGTTTCATTTCTTTTGTCCAATAAAATTTATTTTTCCTGGAGTTTTCATTTTTATTAACTTGTATCAAAAGTTCACCTTTTTTGTGCCTGTTTTTGTACTATTGGGTTGTTGGAAAAGTCATGATGCATTTTTGCAATGATAAACATAGAAAAAATACGTCATGACTTTTCCAACAACCCAATATATTTTTAATAATAACATTTTATGAAAAAAACAAAACAGGTTGATCCATGACTTCAAATGATTTGCCAAGGATGAGGAAGTTACAAAAATCAACATAGCTGTGGCTGAGATGGCAAACTTGAATTTGGGTGTGGGTAAGGCTGACACTGAGGAGCTCCCAGAGGGGGCGCCTGAGGAATTGACTGAGATGTTGGAACGAACTGAAACACACAGCTAAAGAAGCAAGAGAGAAAAAACAGCTGAGGGCAAAGAACTTCCAAGAAAATTCACAAAGGACTTAGCAGAGGCTTTTCCAGAGTGCAAGTTTCTTAAAAAGTTTGAAAACATGGATCCAAACAATGAGTGTTTTAGAAACAGAGAATTGTTCATGGTGCGTTATTTGCTTACAAGCAAAACTATGAAGGAAAAACAAACAAACAAACAAACAAGCCAGGAAAACCACCATGGACTTATTTCTGAAAACAGTGACACCTTCTCAAGAGCCTCAGGCAGGTCCCTCAGGTGTTCCAGAAGAAGGCAGTGGTATCAGAGGAGACGACAGCTCCATGCGTGTTACTGCTGCTGAAGACCTTCCAGGGGGACAGGATGTGGAGGTGGAGACAGTGATATTGGTGATTCTGACCCTGTGAAGGCCTAGGCTAATGTGTGTGTGTGTGTGTGTGTGTGTGTGTGTGATTACTTTTTTTTTTTTTAAATTTTTATTGGGGAATTGGAACAGTGCTGGGGAATTGGGGGAAGGGGAACAGACAAGTTGCTGTCCTTTTGTTCTTCAGTCTAGTTGTGGAGGACGTTGCTTCACTGGCCCAAGTTAGCACCATCATTGCGCTCTTCCCGGGCAACGCACATCAGTCATTGGCTTCTGGATGGCCGCTCACCACGGCTGCTGGCCGCTTACGCTGGCTGCTGGCTACATATGGTAGCCCATGGCAACCCACTGCCACAGGGGCTGCAGCCTATGCCATCGCCGGCGACTCACAGCAGCCCAGCTCCAGGTTGAGCTGTTTGTTCAGCATCTTAGCTGTGGAGGGCAGTGTCACTGGTCCTCCTATGTGGGATCCGAACCGGGCGTCCCAAGCCAGTTCTTAACCATCGCGCTACTCAGCCGGCCCTGTGCTTACTTTTTAACAAAATAGAAAGAAGCTTACAGAATAAGGATATAAAAAAATATTTCTGTAAAACTGTACAATGTGTTTGTGTTTTAAGCTGTTATTGTGAGAGTTGAAAGGTAAAAAGAATCTAAGTTTTATAAAGTAAGTTAAAGTTTAGTATAAAGAAAACCTTTGAATAAATTTAGTTGAGTCTAAGTGTCCAGTGTGTATAGTCTATAGCAGTGTACAGTATGTCCCAGGCCTTCAGTCACTCACCACTCACTCAATGACTCACTCAGAGCAACTTCCAGTCCTGAAAGCTCCATGCATGCTAAGTGCTCTATACAGGTGTACCACTTTTTATTTTGTACCGTATTTTTATTGTGCCTTTTCTATGTTTAGATACAAATACTTATCATTGTGTTAAATTGCCTACAATATTCAGTACAGTAACATACTATGCAGATTTGTAGCCCAGGATTAATAGTCTATAGCATATAGGTTTAGATGTAGTAGGCTATACTTAGGTGTGTAGTAGGCTACATCACCTATGTTTGTGTAAGCACATTCTATGATGTTCACAGAAATGACAAAATCACCTATGATGCATTTCTCAGAATATATCCGTCATTAAGCAGCACATTTCCATAATATCTGTTAGGATGTGGTGACTTAGAAAACAGTTAATAAAGTATTTCCATGGAACAGCACAAGCATTCCTTTGACAAAAAAATGCACACATACTTTTAATCACATGTAATCAAACATAATGAAAACACATTAAAGGAATACATTCAGCTACAAGTAATAGGAAACACCCAGTCTTCCTGACATAAAGGTGTTTTTCTCACATGGAAGGACCAGGTCAAGGCAGCCAGTGTACAATGCAGTAGAGAAACAAACTCCCATGTTGTTCTTTTCGATGGCACCATTGTACATGTCATGGTGAATCAAAAAAACATACTCAGTAGCACTGTTAAGAGCTTAAGATGTGTCCTATACAAATTAGACCTTATGTAGATATAACCTAGAGTAGAGAGAATCAGACAATATTCCCAAGCAGGAAAGTCTGAATCAGTTTCCTGGTGGAAACAAGAGGGCTTATAGAAAAACCCAAATTATGTTGTATCTTTGGTGTGGATCTTGTGAAGACATCAGAGAACATCTACACTTCTCAAAAATGGATATCAAACAGTTGGTGGTGACTTTGAGGATACTCGTGATTGTTAAGTGCAAAGAATGAGGAAAGTGAGCTGTAAGATGGTGTCTCCTAAGTCCTTATGTATCTCTATCTCGCTCTTCCCCATATGGTGGTGGCTCCAAAATCTGACTAATGCCTTGTTCCCTTCTGCCTTCCAAATCACATGCAAGTGAGGCTACTGGTGAATTCTAACATGGCGCCATAAAGGGGGTGGATTCTGGAAAATCTAGTTCTTAAAACTACTCCCAGGGGAGTATCTCCAGCTCTAGATTTTGTTGCCTTATCACAAGGCTTTTCTTAAATCAAAGTCTATTCAGCAAATACCAGTCAGAATAAAAGAAATGCAAAGGCCCAAAATATGAAAACAATAATTTACATGAAACTATATTTTCATAAACTTGCCATACAAAACAATTATTCCCACTGTTTACAGGTATGAAAAATGGGAAAAGACTGTTTTACTTATCTAAAAAAGGAGCTTTGTCAGTAAAAAAGATAGAATATATATAATGAACTAGAGATTTACAGGAACTGCCACAAGACCAGAAGGAAAATCCTAACAAATACCACACTGTCATTTTTCAATGACTCTCTCTCTCTCTCTCTCTCTCTCTCTCTCTCTCTCTCTCTCTCTCACACACACACACACACACACACACACACACACACACACACACATTAAATCTAACTGCACATTAGAAATACACTTCAATTCATCCATGGATCCAACAGGCTTCAAGGTGGAAAAATAAAATACTATTAACTATGTCCACCAAGAAAATTCTTGACAAAAAAAAAAAAGGCAAAGAGATTAAAATGAAATTTCATTCTTTCTTTAGATTCTGTCTACTGAAACTTCTCAGTGAACAGAATAAAAGGAATTTGAAATCTTAAAAACTACCATTAGTGAAATTCTTCCCATTTAAAATATACTGGGGGCCGGCCGAGTGGTGCGATGGTTAAGAACTGGCTTGGGACACCAGAGGGCCCTGGTTTGGATCCCACATATGAGGGCCAGTGACACTGCCCTCTATAGCTAAAATGCTGAACAACAGCTCAACCTGGAGCTGGGCTGTCGTGAGTTGCCGGCAATGGCATGGGCTGCAGCCCTTGCTGCAGTGGGTTGCCATGGGCTACCGTGTGTAGCCAGCAGCCGCAGTGAGCGGCCGTCCAGAAGCCGGCGACTGATCTGCCTCGCCCGGGAAGAGCGCAATGATGGTGCCAACTTGGGCTAGTGAAGCAACATCCTCCACAACTAGAGTGAAGAACAAAAGGACAGCAACTTGTCTGTTCCCTTTCTCCCAATTCCCCAGCGCTGTTCCCATCCCCTAATTCCCCAATAAAAAAATCTAAAAAAAAAACAAAAAACATATATATACTGGAATTTAAAATGTTATGTGGGTATATTCGGTCAGTGTTTTTTCTTAGGTCAGCAATGTTAACAGTATTAAAAAAAGAATATTTAATCAAACATAATTTTGTTTGCTGTCTCATAAATAGCAATAAAGTAAAATTATATTTTATTATCTAGCACTTTTTATACCCAAATGCCTAAAAGATTTCATTTTAGCTGGTTATTATTTCCATAAGCCAAATATATGTTAACATGGGGGGAAAATGCTGTATTTTCCAGCAATCAAATATTAACATTTATGCTTTGGTGTTTGAAATTTAAAAATATTTAATATAAAAATACTATTAACTGATTGATTTAAGAAAAAAAATTAACTATTAACCTTAGATATTATGGGTGAAGATGACTCCCAGAATTATCTCACCTCAATATTCATTTCTGAGTAATTAGCAGAAATCCACTTTCCAGTGATGTACTTTCAGAAAAGAGACTTGCTAAACAATATATTTACAATTTTATTAACAACTCTTTCACATTGAAAGTTTACACGTTACATTTATATTTATTTTTCATTTGAGTTTTCACAAGTAAAAATGTGAGCCAACTAAAGTCCTTCCTATAGTTTACATTCAAGAAGTTTTCCCCAGTGAATCCTTTCATTCCTTTGGAAGGAACTGGGATAATTAAAGTCTTTCCACATTCTTTACATTTATGTGATGTCTCTCTAGTGTGCACTCTCACGTGTCTTCAAATGAAGGCTTTACCACAATGTTTACATCCATAGAATATCTCCAGTGTGAATTCTTTCATGTATTTTAAAACCTAGATGAGAAATGAAAGCTCTACCACATCACTTACATTCACCGTGTTTCTCTCCTCTGTCTTTTTGTGTTTGTAAGGAACTGTAGTATCTGTAGGCTTTTCCAATTTACATTCATTGGATATCTCTCTTGTGTGATTTCCTTTCTTGTCTTCTAAAACATGTTAAAAAACCACAGGCCCCAAATAATATCACTCATACTAACAGCCCTTATACCAAACCTTGATTTTTAAGTTTTTTTTTAGATTTCAAAATATTGCAGTTAAATGAGTCACTGTTCAGAAGTCTCTCACTTTTCATACAAAAATACCGTGCTACTGATACAGTTGAAAAAGTTCAAATGGCTTCTACTGCAGGAGAAATGCAGATTCCCCAGGACACATGAAACCTGGCCCTCTCCCCATCATCAGTGGCTCCCCAAGGACTGCATAACTGTTACCTGGGGACAGCTTTTCTAGGCACTGACCCTGCCCTGCCCAAATCTTGATTTTCATATCACCTAATCTAATTGCAGTTTCAGCCTCTCCCAGAAACATAATCTACCAGTATGAAATATTCTGATCAAGCACTTGTAAGGTAATGTGTCACATGGGCTCTTCCCATACCCCACAGAAAGAGGCAATCTGCATTATAGTAACATTCTCCTTCTCTTTTCCCAAAGAAAAGATATCCAGACCCCAAATAACCCTTTCTTTCCTTTTGTCAATAGCTCCTTTGCCCCACCCTATAAAAAGCTTCCATTTTGTGCAACCCCTCAGAGCATCCCTCTAATTGCTAAATGGGATGCTGCCAAATTCATACATTGCTTAATTAAAGCCAATTAGGCCTTCACATTTATTTGGTTGGATTTTGTTTTGTTTTTGACACTTTGATAACATTTGAAGGATTTTTCAACTTTCTTACGTTCATAGGGCTTCTGAGTTCTTTTGTGCTTTTCTAAGGCACTGTAATCTCTGTATGCTTTACCACATTCTTTACATTCATAGGGTTTCTCTCCTGTGTGCCTTCTCATGTGTATTTTTAAGATGATGAGAGGCTTTCCCACATTTCTTGCACTCATAGGGTTTCTCTCCAGTACTTCTTTCATTTGGTTGCAAGCAAGAGTAATCTTTGAAGGCTTTGACACATTGTTTACATTCCCAAGGTTTCTCCATAGTGACTCCTTTTGTGTCTTCAAAAACTTTTATAACATCTGAAGGTTTTTCCATATTTACATTCGTAGTTTCTCTCCACTGTCATTTTTTTTTCATGTCTTCCGAAATAATGGGAATACCTAAATGCTTTACTACATGTTTTACCTTCATAGGGTTTCTCTCAAGTGTGAGCTCTTTCATGTGTTTGAAGACTTTGATAATGTCTGAAGGGTTTTACCACATTCCTTACATTCATAGGGCTTCTCTACAATATGAGTTCTTTCATGCAATCAAGATAACTGGGATAACTAAATGCTTTACTACATTTTACGTTCATAGGGTTTCTATCCAGTGTGAGTCCTTTTGTGTCTTCGAAAACTTTTATAACATCTGAAGGCTTTTCCACATTCCTTACATTCATAGGGCTTCTCTCCAGTGAATTTTCGTTCATGTATTCGGTAATTACGATAATATCTGAAGGCTTTTCCGCAATCCTTACATTCATAGGGTTTCTCTACAGTGTGAATTTTTTCATGACTTCGAAGATAAGAAACACAACTGAATGCTTTACTACATTTTTCACATACATATGGTTTCTCTCCAGTGTGATTTCTTTCATGTATTTGAAGACTTTGATAACACCTAAAGGCTTTTCTACATTCCTTACATTCATAGGGCTTTTCTCCAGTGTGATTTTTTTCGTGATTTCGAAGATAACTGAGACAAATAAATGCTTTACTACATTTTTTACATACATAGGGTTTCTCTCCAGTGTGATTTCTTTCATGTGTTTTAAGAGAGCGGAGACGACTGAATGCTTTACTACATGTTTTACATACATAGGGTTTCTCTCCAGTGTGACTTCTTTCATGTGTTTGAAGACTTTGATAATATCTAAAGGCTTTTCTACATTCCTTACATTCATAGGGCTTCTCTGCAGTGTGAGTTCTTTCATGTTCTTGAAGGCGACTGGGATACCTAAATGCTTTACCACATATTTTACATTCATAGGGTTTCTCCGCAGTGTGAGTTCTTTCATGGCTTCGAAAACTTTTATAACATCTGAAGGCTTTTCCACATTCCTTACATTCATAGGGCTTCTCTCCAATGAATTTTCTTTCATGTTTTCGAAAACTCTGATGATATCTGAAGGCTCTTCCACATTCCTTACATTGATATGGTTTCTCTCCAGTATGAGTTCTTTCATGTATTCGAAGATAAGGGAGACAACTAAATGCTTTACTACATTTTTTACATATATAGGGTTTCTCTCCAGTGTGATTTCTTTCATGTACTTGAAGACTTTGATAACATCTAAATGTTTTTCTACAATCCTTACATTCATAGGGCTTCTCTCCAGTGTGATTTTTTTCATGATTTCGAAGAGAACTTAGATAAACAAATGCTTTATTACATTTTTTACATACATAGGGTTTCTCTCCAATGTGATTTCTTTCATGTTTTCGAAGATTACCAAGACAACTGAATGGTTTACTACATGTTTTACATACATAGGGTTTTTCTCCAGTGTGGCTTCTTTCATGTGTTTGAAGACTTTGATAATATCTAAAGGTTTTTCCACATTCCTTACATCCATAGGGTTTCTCTGCAGTGTGTGTCCTTTCATGTATTTTAAGACGACTGGGATACCTAAATGCTTTACTACATATTTTACATTCATAGGACTTCTCTCCGATGTGATTTTTTTCATGATTTCGAAGATAACTGAGACTTCTGAACACTTTCCTACATTTTTTACATGCATGGGGTTTCACTCCACTGTGACTTCTTTCATGTATTTGAAGACTTTGATAACTGCTGAAGGCTTTTCCACATTGTTTACACTCATAGTGTTTCTCTCTAATGTGCATTCTTTCATGTAACTGAAGTGAATTTGAACAACTGAAGACTTTCCCACATTCCTTACATTTATAAGGAGAATGTCTAGTGTATTTCATCATGTGTTTTTGAAGGGTTTTGCGGTACATGAAGACTTTCCCACGTTTTTTACATTTATAAGTTTTCTCCCCATTATGATTTCTTTCATGTTGTTTAAAATACTGGAGATAACTAAAGGCTTTCCCACATACCTTACATTTATATGGCTTCTCTCCACATTTCTGATAGTCAGACAGACTGTGTCCAGGGTGACATCTGATATGTCCATCAAAGGATGAATGATAAATAAAGACTTTTCCACATACACTGCGTTCATAGGGTTTCACTCCAGTAGTTTTCTTCAGATTGAGATTTGAAATAAAGTTGAAGTTTTCTCCACACTGACCAACCTCTTTACTTTCACAGAATCTTTCTACCACTGGACTTCTGTGAAAAACAAGAAGCACAGTATTAATGATTGCTTTACTAATGATTTTATAGTCATTGTATTTATTATGATACAGGAAAAGTATAAGTGTAAGTATTCTCTCATCTAAATTGTCTGAAATTAAATATACTGAATGCTCTTCAAAAAGACTTCACTCAGCTTTGTTATTATCAAACTGTGATATTCATATATAGGGTTTATTAATACGGTTTCCAAATGAACTATTTTGCAAACACTGAACATGTATGGTACATTTAGGAAAGTATTTTTGGCAAAAATATTATAAGAAGAAAAACATTTTTAGTGTAGTTTATAAATTTCATAACACACTAGAATTTTCACACGAGGCACTGCTTTCTATTGTATGACTCACCTTAGTTTTCTCCCCTGGTTTTTGTACTGATCTTCAATGTCTGGATTGTCCCATTTTATTCCTAAAACGCAGATCCAGAAAAATGATTTGAAAGCATTAGAATTAGAGACAAATTATTAGATTCTAGATCCATGGAGAGCTGTGACTATGCATAGTTTATTAACCAATGTACTCTCCACATTCCACATCTTGAAACAATGTTGATGAGAAATAAGCACTTATTTTCTAACTGACAAGATATTTTCTAATTGAAGGAATGTCCTCATCCTTACCTACTGAGGCCAGGTTCCTGAAGGTTTCCCACATCACATCTCTATAGAGTTCCTTCTGTGAAGGATCCAGTAAGGTCCACTCCTCCAGGGTGAAGGTCACAGCTACATCCTCAAAGGCCACTGAGTTCTAAAACATCCCAAATATATGTACAGTAGGATGAGTGAGACTGACAGTACTGGGCATCTAGACTCCATTTATAGGAAGGTTACATATGATTCTCCTCTTTAAACATCTCATCTATGACTTGATCATCAAAAACTTACTCTCTGTTCATGCTTACTTTCTCATAAATCTAATACCATCATTAACACATAGAAATTACATACACATTATTACCATGATCACTTTACATCTTATTTATCTCTAATATCAGGGTCCTGTGCATGTAGAAAAATAAATGAAATGCTATAGAGATGAAACATATATTATCATTTTAAGACAATCAATTCTTTGTGAAAATCAATTTTCTTCATCTTCTTCCTTATTACCCACCATTTATGGCACTTGAGGTGGAGGATAAAATCTTCATAAAGTTCTAATGAATAAAATATAGTAAAAAACTGGAAGCTTCCTTCTATTCGCCTCAACAAACGAGTCCGGGAGGCCTGAGGAAATTAAACTTTCAACAAAGCCAGCTGACCATGTCATCCTCAAGTCCTCCAGTCTTCTTATCAGTCAGTAAGTAACCAGGTGCAGCTGGCTGAATGTAAATATGCTTGCGGAGAAGCATTGCTTGTAACTTGTGTAATATTGATCACAGACTGAGTTCTTCCTTTCTCTCCCTGTCCAATTTAAAGAAGATAGTAAGTTATTTGGAACTTAGAGCTCAGACACTAGGAAGAAATCATGACAAGTTAGACCACAGGATCGCTATACTCACTCAGGTGCTCAGGACTGCTTCCAGTTAAATGTTAGAATGCATAGTGAGAGAATATGCCAGAAGAGCTCTTTCTGGTCAAACCATAACAGGGTACCCTAGGCCTCATTGCTCTTGAGGAACAGGTTAAGAGCTGCAGCTTGCAGGGGAGTTCACTGAAGTCCACATGGGTTAATGGTAAGTTTGCCCCTGATTATAGAATACATAAAGGACTCAACAGTGCTTTCCTCCAAAATAACACAGAATTTCCATTCTCCAAGTTCAGAGGAAGGGTTCACCAAGTCACTCTGGAGGCTACCCTGTCAACTTCTGGTGTGGCATTTAAAAAATTAGGAGCTATCATTCTCAATCTCTTCCTCTCTCCATTTCTCTTTTTTTCTCTCTCACACACACAGCAAATCACAAAACACAATGCCACCCCCCCAAAAAGCAACCAAACAAAAATAAAACTGAAAAAAATATGAGCCACTCTGAGATCAGAGCCTTGAGCTCACAGGAAAAATTGGCATCTCTGAAATAGGCCCAAATACTGGGTTCTTCACAAGGCCTGCAATTAAAAAAAAAAGAAAAAAAATCTATTTCACCAGAGTCTAATGCAAAGATGATAAAGAACAAAAAAGACAGAACACAGTATCCATGAATCCTAGCGCAACCTTCTTTAACATGAGATTTGAAATATATATAATAGAAATACCTAACAAAAATAGAAGAGACAGAAATAAACAAGAGAGATAAGTGAAGGAATGATCGCTAAAATTCTAAAATTAATAATATGCAGCACACTGTAAACACAGAAATCTCTAAAACACAAAACATGAAAAACACCAAAAATGCATATTGAAGTATATCATATTCAAATTAGACAAAAATCAAAAACAGGATTTATTGAAAGGAAGGGAAAGGAAGGAAAAGGAAGGGAAAACAGACATCAGGTATACAGAAATAAAGATTTGAATTAAATCAAACTTCTTTTCAGAAAAAAAAATTAAGGGAAGAACAGAGTGGAATGAAATACTGAACATTTTGAAACTTAAACTGTTGTAGAATTATGTGTCAAGCAAAATTATCCTTCAAAAATATAGGAAACATAAGGACTGAGACACAAATAAAAGAAATTTGTCCTAGTACACCTACTTTGAAATGTTCAAAAATCCATCAGAAAGAATGTAAATGACAAAAGTGGAGAATTAGTAAAGGAATCAATAAAGGTAAAACAACTTTTTTTTCTTATATAACACGACACTTTGTTTGAAATTAGCAATAAGTAATAGTAGTACTAGTAAAAATGCTGTCTGGCAGTTGAAATAAATGACAGCAATGTGACAGAGACAGTCGGTGGAGATTCAGAACAGTGTGGTAAGAGGTATTTGCACAAATACCATTTGCACAAATAACACTATACCATTTCACTAAATGGTATAGTGTTAATTAACAGAAGATGTGGGTTAGTTGTAAATGTATACTCAAAACTCAAGGGAAACTAAAGAAGTTCCTTTTCAAGATGTGTGACTGATATGCTGTAAGACAATCTAAAAATAAACAGGTAAAATGCTGAATTAAAGCCAAAGAAAGCAGAACAAAACGTTGATGCGAAAAAAAAAAAGAACAAGGGCAAAAATAGAAAACAGTAAAAAGATTTGGTAAATATTAATCTATCAGTTCCAATAACCACTTTAATCATCAATCATCTCAATGCAATTGACAGATACAATAGTACCAGGTTTTAAAAATCACACTTACATGTTGTCTAGAAGAAATCCACTTTAAATATCAAGTGGAGATAGACGAAAGGTAAACAGATGAAAGAAAATATACCATGCCAACATTAATCAAAGGAAAGCTGGCATAATATGACTTATAGACAATGAAGATTTCAAACCAAAGAAAACTCAGAAATAAAGAGCAGCATGGCAATAAAGGGGTCCAGTCTGCAAGAAGGCCTAGCAATCTTTTAGGTGTATGTGCAGAGCAACACAGGCACAAAATATGTAAGTTAAGGGCTGATAGAATGCAAGGAGAAAGGAGTGAATCCACTGCTGTGGCTGGAGAGTTCAACATCCCCTTATCATGAATTCCATAGCAGAAAATCAAAATGGACAGAGCAAAATTGAGCAGCACTATAAAACAACTGCAGGGTTTTTTGCAGCAGCAGACAGCCCATAACAACCTGTGAGGATTTTTGTTGGTGAGCACGTTTCCAGAGCAAACAGCAGCTAATTGCGGGAAGCTCACTGCAAGCCTGAGAGGGAAGCCAGCACATGACGCATTGAGCCCTTCCCCCCAACAGCTGGTGCTGAGTCGCCCAGAGTCTCTCTATTGCTGAGCAAGTGGTCTGCAGATTAAAACGGGTAGAGCCCCTTTTTTTTCTTCTTCTTCTTTTTTTTTCTTTTTTCTAGGTGATCTATCTAATACATCAAAGCAATCAGAGCGAAAGCCGGAATAAAGAAACAAAGAAACATGTCCCAAGTAAAAGATCAGAAGAAACCTCTAAAAATGGAACTAAATGAAACAGTGGTATCCAACCTTTAAGAGACAGAGTTTAAAACACTGATGATAAAAATGTTTAAGAAACTTAGGGAGGACATAAAGAAGGATACAGAAATAATACAAAAAACAACCAGTTAGAACTAAAGAATACAATAATTAAAATGAAGAACACACTCAAAGGAATCACCAGTAGATTAGATGAAGCAGAGGATCGGATCAGCGATTTAGAAGACAAAATAACAGAAATCATCCAGTTGGAACAACAAAAAGAAAAAAGAATAAAAAACAATGAAAATAGTTTAAGAGACCTGTGGGACAACATCAAGCACAATAACATTAGCATCATAAGAATACCAGAAAGAAAATAGAAGAAGGAATCGAGAATGTATTTGAAGAAATAATGACTGAGACCTTCCCTACCCTGGTGAAGGAAATCGACATACAAGCCCAGGAAGTGCAGAGAGTTCCAAACACGCTGAACCCAAACAGGTCCACACCAAGACTCATCATAGTTTAAAATGGCAAAGGTTAAAGACAAAGACAGAACCCTAAAAGCAGCAAGAGAAAGACAGCAGGTTACATACAAAGAAACTCCTCCTATAAGACTAACAGCTGACTTTTCTACAGAAACTCTGCAGGCCAGAAGGGAGTGGCAGGAAATATTCAAAGTGATGCACAAAAAATGCCTACAACCAAGATTGCTCTACCCAGCACGGCTATCACTTAAAATTGAAGGAGAGAGAAAGAGCTTTTCAGAAAAGAATAAACTTAAGGAATTCATTACCAAGCCAGCATTGCAGAAAATGTTAAAAGGGCTTTTTTAAACAGAAGAAAGGGGAAAACAAGCTAACCCAGGAAGACCAGAAATACAAATAACAAAATGGCAATAAATATGCACCTATCAATAATCACTTTAAATGTGAATGGGCTAATTGCTCCAATCAAAAGACATAGAGCGGCTGAGTGGATAAGAAAACAGCACCCATGCATATGCTATTTACAAGAGACTCATCGCAGATCAAAAGACACACACAGACTGAAAGTAAAGGGATGGAATAAGATATTTCACGCAAATGGAAATGAGAAAAAAAGCTGGTGTAGCAATACTTATTTCAGACAAAATAGGCTTTAAAATTAAGACTACAATAAAAGACAAAGAAGGGGACTACATAATAATAAAGAGATCGATTCAACATGAGGACATAACTCTAGTAAACATCTATGCACCTAACATAGGAGCTCCTAAATCCATAAAACAGATTTTGACAGGCATAAACAGTAACACTATCATAGTAGGGGACTTCAACACCCTGTTGTCGCCAATGGACAGATCCTCCAGACAGCAAATCAACACGGAAACAGTGCCATTAAATGACATTTTAGACCAGCTGGATTTAATTGATATTTTTAGAGCATTTCACCCCAAAGCAACAGAATATACATTCTTCTGAAGTGCACATGGAGCATTTTCCAAGATAGACCACATGTTAAGCCACAAAACAAGTTTCAATAAATTTAAGAAGATGGAAATAATATCAAGCGTCTTCTCTGAACACAATGCTATGAAGCTAGAAATCTATTATAAAAAGAAACGCGGAAAGCACACAAATACATAGAGGGTGAATAACATGCTACTAAATAGCGAGTGGGTCAAAAATGAGATCACAGAAGAAATCAAAAGCTATCTTAAGACAAACGAAATGAAAACACAAGAACCCCAAATTTATGGGATGCAGCGAAAGCAGTCCTAAGAGGGAAATTCATAGCAATGCAGGCATATCTAAAGAAACAAGAACAATCTCAAACCAACAGACTATCTTTACACCTAAGGGAACTTGAGAAAGAACAGCAAAACAAGACCAAAGGGAGTACAAGGAAGGAAATAATAAAGACCAGAGCAGAAATAAATGAAATAGACACCAAAAAAAAAATACAAAAGACCAATGAAACCAAGAGCTGGTTTTTTGAATAAACAAAATCGACAAACCCTTAGCCAGACTCACCTAGAAAAAGAAAGAGAGGATTCAAATTATATTTATTAATATAAAATCAGAAATGAAAGAGGAGAAGTGACAACAGATACCACAGAAATACAGAAAATTTTAAGAAAATACTATGAGCAACTATATGCCAACAAATTTGACAATCTGGAAGAAATGGATAAATTCTAGAAGCATACAATCTACCAAGTCTGAACCAAGAAGAAACAAACCCTGAACAGACTGATTACTACCAAAGAAATTGAGTCAGTAACCAACAAGCTTCCAACAAACTAACGTCCTGGACCACATGGCTTCACAGGTGAATTTTACAAAACATTAAAAAAAAATTAATACCTATTCTCAAACTATTCAAAAAAATACAGAAGGAGGGAAGGCTCCCAAGCACATTTTATGAGGCCACTATTACTTTGATCCC